CTGTAAATTAAACGTTTTGGTGATTGGTAAGGATCGAACCCGTGAACTTCTGGCTCATACACAGTCTCATCCACAGTCAACTACTAGGAAGAAACATAAATTCAGACCACCCATCATCCCAAGAGTACATAACATCTATGAAATGTAAATTTAACATCCAACATTTTGGTGGCCTTTACAAAGGCCATTTTTTTTATACTCAACGGTAAAGTTACACTTAAGCCTTCTTTCAGTTGTTTTTAACATTGGATACATGAATTATCATTTGTTTTGCATTTGTTATGTACTACAGCAAGTAGATATGTATAAAATGAAATAAAAAAAAAATTTAATTTTTTGTGATTGGTAAGGATCGAACCCGCAAACCTCTTAGATCAACGACTCACGCTACTCCCACTACGATACAAGGAGGGAGGGAGGGGGGCAACGAGGGGCTTCTTTTAGTGAATATTGTCTCCGTCATTGTATTTCCAGATCTCGGGTATTAAACAACTACCGCTTACAGAGCAGAATTAACCTACAGAATTAAAAGTAAAATACTAAACTGTGATCATGGATGTTTAGAGCTGGAAAAATTTCTCCACACAGCTGCTAGCACAATACTATATTACCGACTTGGATAGTTCACATTCCAAGTACTGTACTGCTTTACCGACACCGCCCGCAGGTGTGTGTGTGTGTGTGTGTGTGTCCACCAACAGAACGATTAATGCGGGTTCCAGTTTTTGCATTCAACAGTAGTGTACTGCTCTACTGAATACAACCTTTTTGTACATCATACAGGCAGGTGGTCAATTATACTCTGTACGGTACGTAGCAAATAACCTAATGGGGGTAATTTCAACTGGGAAATTGTTTAAAAGTACCAAATTTTATATATAAACAACAATAAACACCAACCGTGAGGCTTTATAATATCGTAGTAAAAGTCATGCATTCGTACTTTGCTCAAATCTAATATATAGAAGTTTGCTCTTACTCATATGTACAGCTGCCAGTTGTTCTGTAAAAAAAGAAAAGATGACCTTCCCAAGATCTCATTGTACACTGTTCGATCTATAAAGTTTGGTTTGGCAATCAATTTTTCAGCTATTTCCAATCTTACACTCAAGTCTCTATTTCTGACTTATTCCATTTACACTCGAGTTTAGTCAAACTTAACCTCGTTCTCCATTACGAATCTTTTGTCGTCATGAGCTGACAACAAAATCACAAGAAACTAATCGAAATCTTATTTTCCTGTATGCTCCTCTTCACTGCTGTTGGACTGCACTGGGTTGAGCATACATTCAAAGTCTGCAGTTTTGACTTGTAATTACAATCTCACCAAAGTATATGTTACAAGTCTTGCATAATCCTTTTCTACTACTACAGTGTATTACGAGAAACTAATCCAAATCGTATCTTTGATACTTTTTCCTGCAAGGTTCTGTGTTTTCTATAAATAACCAATAAACAAAAGAAAGAAGCTATCCTACACTTATAAGTGTAAAGTAGTTTCCCATTCTTTTAAACACCCACAAATGATCTCAACAACCTACGTCACTACCCACATACGTCACAAGTGACGTAGGACCCCAACCACCCGCATAAAACCCAACTCTACGTCATTTCCGCCTTATGCCCTTTAAACTAATTAACTTTGTAACATCTGCTAACATCTGCCCGACAGCTGTTACGCGCGTTTCCACCAGGTCACCACTACTTATATAACAATCTCATGGTGTCTGTATATATATGTGTTATTCAACATAACAAAAACTACTAGACAGACTGGGCTTAAATTTTACAAAATATAACTACTATACCAAGAATGGTAATACAGTAGGACTAACTTATTGCCACTTCAATATTTGTAGAGACTTTGGGATTTGTAGAGACTAACATCTAACAATTTGTTCGAATAAAATTAATTTTCAATTTTAAATAGGAATGTTATGTTTTAGTCTACCTGAGGAAACAATCAGTTAGCAACAACAAAATTTGAAGTTTTCATTTTGAAAGCATACTGACTATAAAAAATTTATTTTCTTTGAATAATTACTAAGCAAAACTTTTTCATTTTGTAAACGATTTCAGCAGCTAGGCTTCCATATGGATTTCCACAATATTAATAGAATTTGTTTTATCACATCAACATTCACACTGGAGTCGGAGACTATGATGTTTTTATTGTTTGATGGTGTAGTACATATTTTTTACTAGTAGGCCTACTTAACAGAAACACCGGTTTATTTCCTTGAAGTGCTAGTTATTTCAGTTATTTTAATCAGCTTTTATCAATAAGATAGACAAATAAATAAGGAAAATAGTATGGCATTCTCATACCTAAAACCTCGCTTCTCGCGTCTATATTTACACGAATCATTGTCTTATTCTTACATTTTTTACAAATCTAAGTTCATATTCGTAAAAATGTTTTACAAAAAAAACGAGAATTGTTTTAAGATGTCTAATTTGACCGAAAAATAGCAGGGAGCCATTGTTGCTTAAGCGGCGGAACACTTAGAATCTTAAAACACTGTATGTATTATTCATTTTTAATTGAGCTTTCGTAATTATTCTTGCATCCAGACACATCACATCTATCTGGTATGATGTAGTAACAAGTTCAATGTCATTACTAATGATTAAGGGTAGTAGAAACGCGATTATGTACGTAGAGTACGCGACTCCTCCATTCACTGTAATGGTAAGGCCCCCCATACACGTAACGATCGGCCGGCCGGCCCGGCCTGAACAGTCCGCGCCGGCCGGCCAATCGTTACGTGTATGGGGGGCCTAAGACGGCCACGCACCAAGACACGGATGCGACGTTGCCACTTTTCGCTCGCCGCGGCCTTGTATTAGAGGAGGCTGTGACATAATGCAAGAGAAGTCAACCCCGTGAGGCAGGGGAAATGTTTGCAGTCCGGTCTTTTTCCTACCTCCACCCTCCTCCCGCCTACACTGCCCGCGCTAGGCCAAGTGCCAGCTTAGTCACGAACTTGTACCTGAAGGCAAGTGAGCACAGCGAACGAGCTCCAACCTAAAGCTGAGTGAGCGTAGCGATCGAACTTCAACCAGGACGTTATTGAGCCATGCGAACGAGCTCATCTTGAAAATGAACGAGCATTTAACATAAAACCACATTTGGACAGGACGACGTCTGTCGAGCCAGCTAGTTAAAAATAAAGATTAAGTTGCCACAGAACACAGAATAAACATTTAACCTAAGATATTTATTCTGTGGTTTTGCCTCAGTTAGTGTATACACTTTCGAGTCAATGACCGGCCCAGTTCCTTCATTCAATATTGAAATGTCAGACTGGCCATTACATTGATTGTTTCCTATCACACATCAAAGTTAATACAATTTGTGATCTATAATTTCTCCATCTATAATAGGATTTCTATAATAGGAACGTACACCCATAGATAAATCAGTTGGTTACTTTAATTACATTGTTTTTTACAGCTATTATGAGAAAAATAAATAACCATGGCTAAAGAAACTGATATACAGTAACAAAGTTACACATGTCACCCCACTCCATTATGTTCTCACCTCGCGTTCATATTCAGCTCAAATTATGCGAACAGTTTAGCGACGCTGTATCAAAAGTACGAAATTGAGACTATTATGTATAGTTAAGGTTAAATAAATCCATCAATTAAGCCCCACAAGCCTTCGATGTTGCAGTGTATTGCATATAGATAAAAATGCTGCTTACTTAAACCATAGACAACAAGAATAAATGAAAATAATTAAATATAATAAATAAATAATTTAATTCTATAAATAAATGTGCTTACGAAAACAGCCGTTGATAATGAAACCCCTGATAACATGAGAGTTTACATGTTGTTGGCTCGTGTTGGCTGAATATAAATAACATACACAATTACAACATCATCCTTAACAATACAAAATGCCGTAAAAAAAGGGTGTTATGGGGGTAAAACCCGGGTTTTCAAATTTTTGACCCTCAAAACACATTTCCCCCAAAAATATGTTCACAAAATATCTTTTTCTGCCATTTTAAAGAGCTTACAAAAACAAATCATTTAGTATGTAAAAGTTTTTTTACGCTTATTGGTTACGGAGAAAATAAAAAAAAATGTAAATTTAAAATTCCCATGTTAATCTTGTGGATAATATTAAATGTCGCAGTCAATATTTTCATCAAACTTGGTAAATTTATTAATCGTATACTAAGCTATTAATATTCTACTTAAAGACACTTTATTACCCTCCCTGTAGCAGCAAACCTTGGTACTTGTTGAACCTAATGTTTTTTATATAGAATTAATTGAAAATCAAATCAGACGAATGGAAATTCGCTTATATAGTCTGCAGGTTTGCTGCGCCGGGGGTATTTTAATAAAGTCTTTTATTTTAGATGAAGGGCACCAGCAGCTCTTAAATTGTGTCCATAAATTTATATTTATGAAACTGGGCAAGCAGATATAATGAGTTACGCATAACATTATATTAGGTTTTGATTTTCATGAGGAGAGATTTTACAAAGGTAGGTACTTATGTATTTTAGTGTGATAAATCATTATGCCCAATCCTCCAAAAAGAATGGGAGAAGTTCTGAGACAAACCCCTAAAGATCAACAACAAAACGTCCGTATGATTTTTTTATACAGGCAGAAACAGAGGGAAAAGTTGTGTCACATGAAAACTGCAAGCTATGTTTCTGCAGTATCCAATTCTGATAATGGTTGTCCCAAAGATCAACCTGAGTTTTCTATATACCTAAAATGGAATTCCAGAGAATTAAGCAGCACGTCGCTCTGATCATGGCGTATCCCATGGCGTATCCTTCACCGTGGAAATGAAGGGTAGTTTCGAGGTATACCTAAAGTTACAGAACGATCAATTTGTAGGTAAAAATCCCGACAAGCTTTGTTTTGTCGACTAACTATCAGTTGTTAAAATTCAGCACTAAAATCAATAAAGCTATGTGATAAAGGACAAATTAGTCAACACTATTAACAATGTCCTGTTGCAGGTAGCGCCGACGCTATCTTGGCACTAGTTAACGCTGGGGCCAACGTGGAGGCGGACGACAAGGATGGACTCACAGGTAAACATAGTCATCCATCGCTTTGGTTCACTATATTTTTAGTGGAGACCATAATTCCGAGAGGTGGACCATCTAGTACATTCTGAGAGATCTGTTGATAAACAGTCTATTGATCGGAAATACTGCGTATTGTGTGGAATTAGCACCGCTCTTTTGAACTATGTGGAAACATAGGAATCCCAAGAAATGCTAACTCTCGATTGTGTGGTGTTTCCGCTTCGTTCCTCATGGCTGAAACACTTCTTCAGTTCACAAAAGGTTTAAATATGTCGGTTAAGACGTTCGCTACGGTATAAATTAGCATTATAACCCATAAATAAAACATTTTAAAACTACTAAATGATGTCCAGATGTCCAAAAGGTAGATTGGAGATGAATAAGCATCCATGAAAGAAGGATTTAATGACGTCATTTCCGACTACGTTTCGTAGTACTACAACTACAAATGCTCTATCAGTTGGTACTAAAAAGCGTGTATTACCCAATAAAATGTACTAGTGGTCGTCCAGTGGTCGTCGACCAAAAATATGTAATGTAACCGCATTGAATATTGGATACTGAAGTTAATTTTCCATCTATATGGACCAGTTGTCACCATTTTTAAAATTAAAAACTTGTACTGTAGTTGTGTGAACCAGTCACAATATGCGTGTCTAAAATTATATTTTCTATCTTATTTTTTGTTACTGACAAAGTTGATGGGTCATAACAGTTGCTAAGGCTCATAATAAGTCATTCTATAAGTTTAAATTTGTCATTTAGATCAGCGCAATCTGTTGGTGGCTCACATCAACTACGACGAATTAAAATAAAAAGCTGGCGACATTTTTTCAAATTTCCCATACATAGGGAATAAGCTATTACCGTAGTACTCATGGTAAGACCTGGACTCGGGATCAATTTAATTTTTCATTTTGAGGTCCCTAGAGGCCAAAAACACCATCCGTTCAAATTCATGTGTGTGTGCGTGTGTGTGTGTGTGTGTGTGTGTGTGTGTGTGTGTGTGTGTGTGTGTGTGTGTCCGTTAGCGCGATAACTGGAGCAAAAATGATCCGATTTTGATGAAATTTGGTATAAACGTGTAAACCTACGTTTATTCGAACGAGTTCGCGATCCAGCATAATCGAACCATGGGAACGGGGGTTTATGGGGGGGGGGGGGGTTTATGTGGTAAAAATGGGGTTTTCCCATTTTGACCCTAAAAATACCAAATTTTGCAATTTCTTTTTAAACCGGTTTGTAGAGCTTAAAAAAAGAAATAATTTAGAATATTGAAGCGCTGTTCTATGCCTAATGGTCACGAAGAAAATTCAAAGATATTGTAATTTAAATTCCCATGTTATTCTTACGGAGAAAATGAAAATTGTTGTAGTTTACTTGTTTATGGATATATATTGATAACCTTTGGCAAATTTATTTATTTCATCCTATACTAATAACGTATGGTCAAAAAACATTTTTTACCTTCCCCGTAGCAGCAAACCTACTAATGTTATTTAAATAGGGAATAAAAATGTCTTATTTATGGATGTATTTTAGTAAAAATTTAATCAGACAAGTTGAAATTCGCTTAGTCTGCAGGTTTGCTGCGGCGGGGTTATTTAACATGGGGATGGCTTGTCGTAGTTGTAAGTCAAATGGACAGGCTTCTCTATTTTCACCCCACGCTGTAAATAAAACATGTGATTGCAATTTTTTCCGTTTGTTTCGATTTTCTGTTTATATTTAGTTGTTATTTCGTCACCAGCAAGGCAACCCATAAAGCCCATGTTATTTTTGTAATTTCAAATTCATTTTTTGTGCTTATGTTTGAGCCTATTTGAGTTTTTAAAGAGATTCTACACATCTACAGGAGAATATATTTCTATCAGCATGCGTAGATTTTCCCTGCGATGCACACGAGCTGAGAAAACAGGTTTTAAAGAAACATGCTTGCCTATTAATATATAGATATATATATATAGATAGATAGATGACACTATGGTAAGAACTTTGTCCATTAACATTTGGTGAGGATCCAACATTTTCTCACCTGGGCAAAGTCCACCAAATTGGGAAACAACAGAACATGCATTTAATACTGCAATCTTTTACTTAAAATTAATTTCACTCTAAGCAGCACCTTTTGGACGGGGCAATAAATGTTAAATCATTGCTAGTCAGATTGCCTAACCGGGAACACTAAAAAGGTGGTAGAAATTCTTATGAGGAATAATCCAAGACGTATTTTACCTCTCTATATGGTACGGGTTTGACACAATGTTTTAGTTTTAAGCAAAGTCTTGCATTATTTAATTTTCATGTTACTTTTCATTTAATTTACATTTACATTTACTTTTACTTACTTGTATTATTACTTTTCCCGCCATTTTCCAAGATGGCGGACGTTGCCCAAGTGGGGAAACTTGGGAATTCTCAGGAAATAGTCAGGGACATGTGCCGAACACATTCCAGTCGGATTCGATCGTGGCCTAATTTTGTTAAGGTCAAACCCTAAAAGTCCTAGACTATCTTTTATATACTAAACAACTTTTGCAAAACTTACGAAAGCTAACCTTGCCATACTACTGGACCGAATTACACGCCGTTGGCTGCGCCGTTGGTACCAAATAATAATGTAGATGTGCAGTACAGAATCCCTTTATACATTAAAATAGACCCCAAAATAAGCACGAAAAATGAATTTGAAATTTGAAACAAATTAACATGGGCCTTATAGGTTACCATGCTGGTGACAAAATAACAAAACAATATAAACAGAAAATCCAAACAAATTCCAACCACATGTTTTATTTACAGTGTGGGGTGAAAATAGAGAAATCTGTACATTACATATTTTTGGTCGTGTTTTCAACCACTGGACGATTAATATTTTACTATTAACTTTTTTACGTAGTCGTTCAAGGAAGGAATCGTCTGTGGCAGTTAGATTAATGTATCTGCAACACTAAAATTATATGGGAAGGAAGAGAAAAAGGTCCATGATGAAGGAAGTGGGGAAGGAAGTAGTGAAGGCGAGCCGTGCGGAGTTTGGGAACCGTCTGTGGTAGTTAGATTAATGTATCTGCAATATTTAAATGCTATGAGAAGAGAAGGAAACAGGTCCACGACGTAGGGAGTGGTGTAGGAAGTAGTAAAGGCGAGCAGTGCGGAGTGTGGTAACCGTTTGTCGCAGTTAGATTAACGTATCTGCAATACTGAAATGCTATGGGAAGAGAGGAAAACAGGTCCAGGATGTAGGAAGTGGTGAAGGAAGTAGTAAATGCGAGCATTGCGGAGTGTGGCAACAGTTTGTGGCAGATGGATTAATTTATCTTCAATACTAAGACTGCTGTTCGAGTAAACTAATGATTTTCCCCGAGTAAAGCTTAGTCCCCAAGTATTTAGTAGAATACAATGCCATGAATTTGGGCTCAAAATAACAACTGGGTAAAAAATGTCAGATTCAAGAAATATTTTAACGGTTGCAATTTTGACTCAGCTGTCCGTTTGAGTTCGTGTTTACGGCAATGTATTTTAATTAACACGTTTTTATTAGCTCGCTTTCTTGTCCGGTACAAATTTTGCAATCAATTTTATACTAACTTCCCGATGAGCTAGAGACTTGAAACTTAAAACATAGCTCACAAATGTAAGACAATGCAATATTATATCATTTGATTTTCATATTTCCCTTGGGCTACGCCCCATGGGCTTGTTTTTTTTAACTCGCTTTCTTGCAAATTTTGATACTTCCCGATAAGCTAGAGACTTGAAACTTGAAACATAGCTCACAAATGGATGGCAATGATATATTATATCATTTGATTTTCATATTTCCCTTGGGCTACGCCCCATGGGCTTGTTTTTATTAGCTCGCTTTCCTACAAATTTTGATATCAATTTTAAACGAAGTTCCTGGTGAGCTAGAGACTTGAAATTTGAAACATAGCTCACAAATGGATGACAATGCAATATTATATCATTTAATTTTCATATTTCCCTTGGGCTACGCCCCATGGGCTTCCAAGTTTTTCATGTTTACATTTTGAAAGAATGTAAATATATCAATTAATTTAAGTCAGCTGTAAATACTTAAATTTGACAGTTTGAAGAGCAGAGGTTAAGAGGTACATGTTATGCTCCCAAGAAATTCTTTATTTAAACAAACATTTCAAAATAAAGATAAACAATCTGATTACATATAATATGGTGTTTGTTAATAATGTCAATTGTTATTTATTTAGTATTCTATAAAGTAAACAATAAATTAAATAGGTTGATATATTTATAGTTAGTAGGTAAGCCATACATTCAATGTAATACATAATTATATGAAAAGAAACTCAAATAAGCCTTAGATTTTCCAGAAGCCTCTGTGTTAATCTGATACAGATGCTTGAAATAGATCTAACATCCACACACATTAAAAACTAAAAAGTATAAAAAATTTATAAATAAAAAACTTTTTAAAACAAAACTTTTAAAAACAACGCACTAAAAAGTAGAAAATAATTTATAAATATATGGAGAGTATAAATACTTTAAGATTTAAAACGAAAAACGTGGGGTGCATGCAACTGATAATAATACATTAGTTCAATAGGTGAAGGTAATTCGGTAATTGTAAATTATCTATTGCATGCACCCCACGTTTTTCCTTTTTAAATCTTAAAAGTATTTATACTCTCCACATATTTATAAATTATTTTCTACTTTATAGTGCGTTTAAAAACGTTTTGTTTTAAAAAGTTTTTTATTTATAAATTATTACTAAATAAAACCTTTAATTGGATACCAAACTTGACCTATGCTGAAGCTATTCAAGAAAAAACAAATGTTCAGTATTCACCTTGTACTTATTTGGTTGAAATTAAATTTTATATATTAAAAAAACGTTTGAAAAACTTATGACAGCTAGCCTGATTATACTACCCTAGTGGCACAAATATGTATTTTATAAATATTTTATATACCTATTTAAAGTTGTATTTGATAGAACCTCGAAAAAATATATAAATAATATATCTTTAATAACAGTTTGATATATTCAAATATATATATTTAAAATATTACCAAAAAGCAATGAAAAGCTTTGAAGTTTTTGAACATATAAAATAGATTCATAATATATATATTGATCAAATAAGTATAGAATCGATAATATAATAATTTTATATGTATATTTTTCCTATTAAATATTTAAAAAAAAAATATGTGTTGAAAATATTTTAAATATATATATAAAATATTTTTGAAACTATATTATATATTTAAAGTATTTATAAATATATTTTGAAACACGTCATTTATTTTTAATAATACAATAATAATATATTTGTAGAATATAGGCTATAGCCTATAATCTTTTATAATTAGCAAATAAATAATTTGCATCTTTTTGTTTTTTATATTGTCTATCAATTTATACATGCATTTTTTGTATGATAATTGCTATTGTGAAAGCGTTAAAATTAAGTTAATAATTATACGTACTCTAAATGGTGTCACTCTATCATGCACGTAAAGAAAAAATTACGCATATGGTTAAGAGGCAGTATACATGTTCGGCAGCTACATTTGGGTCAAACGAAAAAAAGTGTTGATGGGTTTTATTTTTTAAATTGCAATATGTGACAATGAATGTGATCATAGAAATCTCTAATGATTGGCTAGAAAAGGGTGCTAAGAACTGGTGACCATTTAAGAAACGAATTACGGAAAAACAGAATCATATTATACTGTAGTTTCAAAAAATTTTCAAGTATTGCAACCATTGCAACTGACGGCCGCTCTTTCACCATTTGAAAACTAATGCTAGCAACAGTCACAAGTAGCACAGAGGTATGGTAAGAGGCTCATATGTCGAAGGACCCAGGTTCGAAACCCACCCGGGCTAAAAAAATTTTATCCAGTAATTTTTTCAAAATTTGTTTTTATGAACTATTTAATCAATTTACTCAACTGATAATTGTGTTTTTCATACTAAATCTTCATTATTTTATGTTTTTATGTTTAGGCCTCATGGGATGTTTGGAAGAGATATTTAATACCTATTTTATTTAAATATTATTTACTAAAATACATTATTGGAACATATTTTTTTAATATTAATAGATCCAAAAACATATTTTATATATATATATATAATATATTTTAAATATTATATAAAATTGACATTAATACACACTTGAGATTTATAAAATATATTTTAAATATATTTATTTATATGTATTTAATATATATTTGTGCTACTAGGGTACTGGACCGATTTAAACGCTTGTTGTACCAAAAGAATAGGTTATCGGGCGTACATGTGCAGGTTTTATTTGTATTTTGAGAATATTTATGTTAATTGGGTCAAAAATAGAAATTTTACTATTCTTATGGAGATTGAACATGGGGCTAATTCAATATATTAATAAAAAAGCATATTTTTTAACCTTTTTTTCAGATCCTGTGCATCGCAGGGAAAATCTACGTATACTGTTAAAAAGATATTTGCCTATAGATGTGCAGAATCCCTTTATAAATTAAAATAGGCCCCTAAAATAAGCACGAAAAATTAATTTTAACATTATTTTTTTATTAACACGGGCCTTAGGGATGTCCATGATGGTGACGAAATAACAACAAAATATAACCAGAAAATCAAAACAAATTGAAGATTTCCAACAACTATTGTTTAATGCAATGAATCGTTTCAAGGCACTGCACGATACTTTGAAAGATAGATGGCACAAACATTAACAAATTAGTCCACTTGGAGACTTTATTATTGTCCACGTGCTTCTCCTATCCGATCACTATCCTTTTTAGTGAAGAATTATATGTCATTTAGGTAAGAAATTGACTCTCTACTTCAATATAGTTTTAAATTTGATTCCTTTTTCATTGGAAAGTGCGCATAAGTTATATTTTGTTGCAGCAATTACACAGTTAATGGTTAAATAAAAATGAGAAATTCTGAATTTGAGTCTTATTTGTACGGCTATATAGTTACAGTGTGACGATTGCAGCTCTACGTTACGCCGCAACATGGGGACACACGGACTGCCTAGAGAGGGTAATGTCGCTATGTGGAGCCACTTTGGATACGATGTATTATAGTTGCCGTGTGACGATTGCAGCTCTACATTGCGCGGCATCAAGGGGACACACAGACTGCCTAGAGACGCTTGTGTCAATATGTGGAACCACTTTGGATACGATGTATTATAGTTGCCGTATGATGATTGCAGCTCTACATTGCGCGGCGTCAAGGGGACACACAGACTGCCTAGAGACGCTTGTGTCAATATGTGGAACCACTTTGGATACGATGTATTATAGTTGCCGTATGATGATTGCAGCTCTACATTGCGCGGCGTCAAGGGGACACACAGACTGCCTAGAGACGCTTGTGTCGCTATGTGGAGCCACTTTGGATACGATGTATTATAGTTGCCGTATGATGATTGCAGCTCTACATTGCGCGGCGTCAAGGGGACACACAGACTGCCTAGAGACGCTTGTGTCACTATGTGGAACCAATTTGGATACGATGTATTATAGTGTTGCCGTATGATGATTGCAGCTCTACATTGCGCGGCGTCAAGGGGACACACAGACTGCCTAGAGACGCTTGTGTCGCTATGTGGAGCCACTGTGGATGTGATGGACAGCAACGGTTGCACTCCTTTGTTTTACGCCGTCACTCTAGGACACGCGGACGCCACACAGTTGCTGCTGGAACACGGCGCCCAGCCAAACCGTCAGGACCGCAAGGGCCGCACGTTAGTATCATTACACTTAGTTATCGCCTCTTGCTTTGGATACCAACACTGACATGCCTCAGTTAAACAGCACTAAAAATACACATCTTTAAGAACCATCGACGACAGATTTCAGGCACTCGATCCATTCCATCGATTGTTTAAAATAATAATAATAATAATAATAATAATAATAACAATAATAATAATAATAATAATAAATCTTTATCGCTTTCAGACAATTTTTACATTGTATAGCAAACGTCAAGATTGAATATAATACATAAGACATATAATATATTGATTGCGTAAAGAGGTGTCACCCACCATTACTTAAGAGATAAGCTGATATTGCTAGCCTAGCCGATGTCTTAGAAATCCTGTTATTAAAGGCTTACAGGAATTTATAACACACTGTCTTCTCATTACGCAAACCTATGTTTGGGAAGTAGGCTAACTTATAATAAACTCATAGTTAACAATAAACTTATAGTTTAACAAATTGATAACAATCTAAATACTATAAGATCATGGGTCGAGCAAACCAACTAATTAACGGGTTCAACAGTGCCGCAAATCCGACCTAAAATGTTGATCATAGCGGTGATACCTAGTTTTAAACTACAAGGAATAGCACTAGAGCTTTGTTCAGTTGTTCAACAAGTTTAAGTTTGTTATTTTAAATTGCCACCATTTTGACTTAAATGAGCTTTGTGATGTCGGTTGTGCGGAACATTTCCTCCAGAAATCTTTAATTAAATGAGGTACTCTACCTATGCCCACATTTAAGATTTCCTTATAACTCCTTGTGGACCGTCCTATGTAAGACAAACACGTTAAAAAAAGAAATGATTTTGTTGTGTGGCGTTTTGCAAATTTTTATTACCGTTTCTGCAATGGTAAAAAATGCCCTTCCCGGACTTTTTGAGGAGTCTATATAAAGTTGTGGGTGCTGCGCTACAGGCCAGCACATTGTGGAGCAGCTAAAGGTCAGCTGGAGACGCTGCGTATCCTCGGCAGCAGAGGTGCCAACATGTGGGCACGCAACGTCAAAGGAGACTACCCCTTACACGAGGCGGTGGCGTCAGGTCGCAAGGACCTGGTGCGGTGGCTGCTCTCTCAGCGTCCTGACGCCGTGAACGCGTCCAACAACGACGGTCGCTGTCCGCTACACATCGCTGCCATCAACAACAACGTTGAGATCTGCAAGGTGAGACTACTCTCTACCAGCCATAACTTGTTAAACGACCAATGTGTGTAACTATTTGTCATTGCAGATTTTTTTAGCTAGAAGCGGTCAAGGTGTGGTGGAATATCTTTGAAGATGGACCTTTCTGACAGTAGTGCAATCATGTGTTCAGACCTGTCAAATTTTGAGGTTAAATCAAAACAAACAAACTGGCATATTATTGGAATTGACAATACTGCAGTTAACTATAATTTAACACGTTAGCTGCCAGAGGCCTATTTTCAAATTTTCGGCGTAATGCCAACTTTTACTGTTATTTATATTTCGATATTTCAACTTTAATTGTGTTTATATTATACTAATACAATACTAATACAACAAGATATACTTTGGAACTGTAAAAATAAATGTTAAAAAATATGTGACCGATCGGGTCGGCAGCGATATTTTTCAACGAATATTCACTTTATTCACGTCTCAGCTGTTCCCGCGCAAAGGCTCTTGGTCCATTTTTTCGCTGATCTGCAATGCTCCCGCCATCAGTTTCACGCCTTTATGTCAGTCTGAGTCTAGGCCTACCTCGAGCTGTTGTTCTTGTTGTGTTTTCTGTCAGGTTCGTTTGGTTGTCTGGGAAGTTTGGTTCGTTGTATTAGGTTAGTTCTATATGGGTGATAATCTAGGCAGTGATGATATAGTAAGAGCAATCGAAGCTCCTTCTAGTGAATTTGACCCAAATATGGATGGTGTAAGTGATAATGGTTGGGGCAGTAATGTAAACAGTGAGATGGACGACACAGACGATGACCCGGATTTCAACCGTAGTGATGACTCAGAGGCAGGCAGTGTCATCGATGACAATGAGGTTGGTTTTATAGAAAGTATGAATGGTACGGATGAAATGATTGATTCTCTTAGTCAAAATATGACTGTAGTGAGTGAAAGTGATGATGTAAATGTAGAAATGGAAGATTTCACTATTAACTTAGGAGAAAAATTTAAAGGCTTGAAAACACAGAACGAAAAGTTAAAGATGAAAAAAGATGGACTTGATAAATGGCAGCCGTTTGAAGGCAAACAGAAAAATATTGTTTTTGAATTATCATCAAGGTTTGCTTTTGACCTGCCCCAAAATGCAAAACCAGAAGAATATTTTTATGCATTTTTAACAGATGATTTAATGGAAATTATGGTAGATGAAACTACTCGTAATGCTTATCAAGTTATAAGTACACTGTGATTGAATCGTAGTAGCAGACTCCGTAAATGGTGGCCTACCTATCCAAATGAGATGGAAAAAATTCTCGGCCTTTTATTATATATTGGTCTAGTGCCAATGCCACGGCTGACAGACTACTTATTGTATAAGAATATTGTTGTTGCTGGGAAGGTAATGAACAGAAACCGTTTCCAATTACATTTGAGATTCTGACATTTAACGACAATTTGAACATGGAGCGAGATGGCCGACTAGGTAAAATATCTCCTCTGATCAAAATCCTGAACAACTCCATCAAGACTAACAAAACTCCTGGCGAAGATGTGGTTATCGACGAGAGTATGATCACTTTCAGAGGAAGACTTATATTTCGCCAATACCTTCCAAATAAAACCCACAAGTACGGCATTAAGGTATTTAAGATATGCGACACTGCTGGCTACACGTACAAGATGAAAGTTTGCATGGGCGCTGGGCCAGGAACTGAAGATAGCCTGATATTAGCAGCATCAGTTGTAATGGACCTCGAGAGATTTTTTTTGACCAAGGGCATACACTGTATGTTAATAATTTTTATACCTCCATTGATCTTGCCCACATGCTTCTAGCAAGGAATACTCACCTTGTTGGAAGTGTTATCAGCAACAGGGCCTGGTTCCCTCATAAAAAAAAACCATTAATTCCGATAACCACATGAAGAAGGGTGAAATGAGATGTCTTGAATACCCAAGTGGTATCGTTTACACCAAATGGTTTGATAAGAGGGAAGTGGGAATGATGTCAACCAAACATCCTCCTGACTATGTTGATACAGGGAAAAAAACAGGCAGGGCGAACCCATTCTCAAACCTCTTGTCATTGACGAGTACAACAAGGCGAAGATGGGGGATTGATGTCAGTGACCAGATGTCGTCATACAGCACAGCCATTAGAAAATCTATGCGATGGTACCATAAGGTCGCAGAAGATTTCCTACTGGGTACAGCGGTCGTCGCGGTCGTCAATGTGTGGCTCGCCTACAAGGATGCAGCTGTACACAAAAGATTGTGTACGCACTACTAGGGTTGCAAGATGGACAAATCGAGCCAGTGAAACATGTTTTTGTGAATCGTGTCCTGGGAAACCATTTCATTGTAAAGATTGTTTCAAGAACTTACATAAATAGGCAAGATCCTTGTGAACTCTGGTAGTTATTCTGTACGATTGCATTTTTCACATTTAGTGCTTTGTTTACTCCCATGTACGTGACTTGAAATGTTATTTGAAATGTAAATGTTAGCTGTCATTTCAACAAAAATTACGTAATTTCTTTCATTACAAATATGTAGTTTTCATAAGCATATAACGTGTTGCGAAATTAAAAACTATCTTGTCAATATACGGTTTAATCTTTATTACATTCCTTACAAGTTTATTGCTGTTATATTCAAGTTTTATTCATATTTCAGCACTAACAATAATGTTAAAGTTAAACAAATGTGCCGGTAGTCAATGTACTGGGTGTCCCAGAAAGGTTTGCACTTTTATTTTTGATAAAGCCGAACGTACAAGATAGATGATATAAGAAGCTTATCAGGGATTGTAGCCATGCCCGTGGAAAGTCATTTGCCATGGATATCTTTTCCGGTGAGCAGCGTGATTTTTGTGTACACGACTATTACCAAACGCTTTCTTATATGACAGTTTGACGTCACCTCTGCGCTCAATGCAGACTTGATCTCAAACAAACGCCATCAGTGGAAATAACTAAATGCTGGGTGCGCAAATTTAAAGCTACTAGATCAACTATGAAACCTCGTCCCATCGGTCACCTTAGAGAACTGCGTTCTGAATAAAATATCGAGCGTGTTTGAGATGCTGTGGAGGATAGTCCACATTGATCAGTAAGAAAACACTGCTGCTTTGAATGTACCCCGAACCAGTATTCACTGCATTTTGAAACCAGATTTGAAGTTACACCCGTATAAAATTCAGTTAGGAAAGGCATTAAAAAATATAACATGGCTATACAGCAGGAGTCTCCATGACTGCAATAAAGCAGCTGTATCTTAGGAAAGTCATTTTCAGATTTGGTGACACCAACTTTCCTTCGAGAAGCCGAGACCTAGCTCCACTTTTTTTGGGTAGTCGGGTGTACAACAACGCTCCTGCTACCCTCGGCCATCGAATGCAGGGGTAGGCCGTTCCACAGACGACAAGCGGTAACAACAAAGTTTAACAGAGGTTAAGTTTAATGTAAATTTACGCTTTATTTGAAACTAGAAACAATTATTATTAACAGAAACAGTCTTTTAGAAAATTTTCGAGATATGTGTACCTGTGGCAAATTCTTACCTTCAAATAACCAAGATAAATTATTCCCTCATAAAATGTACTCATAAAGAGCAATATTAAACTACTATTGAACCCGTGCGGCTCAACGTGCCGCAAAATAACATATGAATTTAGAAAACAAATTCATCGTGTTATTGACGAAGGAAAGCAGTCCATCCATTTTCTAGCTGTAGATGTCTTATATTTAGCAAATTAATAAGTTACAGTATCAAGTATTTTATAGTAATTTTAAGATTTTAAAACACATTTAATAAAACATTTTAATAAAACCAACATGTAGCATATTTGAAGAACATAAAAATGCTTCTTGAAGAAACTTCTTTTAAAAATAAACACTAAAAAATCTATTTTATTCACAAAAGTACTTCCTTGAATAACTTACTAAGCTTTTAGTCGTTACATCACCTTCAGGAAGATTACCCTGGTCAGAATTTTCCGTGATAAATATGCGTACACCATCAAAATATGTAGCCCTACTTAAAGCAACATATATGTTGCCCATGACTGATAACTGGTCTGGGTAGAACAGTGCTACTCTTTTAAGTGATTGCCCGTGAGCTTTATTGATTGTAATTGCAAATGACAAAGCTAAAGGAAATTGACATCTTTCCCTTTTAAATGGTAGGTTTGTTTCTGACGGGCACATGTTTATCCTCGGAATCGAAATATGTCCCCCCTCACTTGTTCCAGTTAGCACTTTACATTCTGGTTTATTAAGTCATTTGTTTCTAATTATAAAAATGTGTTTTTTGTTTACTTGAAAAATTTAAAACAATATGAGTTTGTGAGTGATTAAAAACAATGTAAAACAGTCCACTTTTATTCTGAGTAAAATCAATATTTCTTTATGGTCCTTCCACGCTACGCGATATGAGCCAGGAAAGAGTATCAACGTTATTAAAAGAGAGGAGTACAGTGAAATCATCCCTCACCAGAATCAAAACCTACCTAGAAAATGTGAGTATTACCAGTACAGATAGGGCAAACCTGATTGTACGGCGAGACAAGCTATATGAACTATTTGATCGGTATGTTCGAATTCATGAAGAAATTAGCATTATGGATGATGAACAAACTAATGATGACATTTTAGGAGCTTTCGAAGATGATTATTTTGCAACTAAAGCTAAATTATTAAATTTACTGTGTGAAAATCGAACTAACATCCCTAATCTAGCTCCCGTCCATTCGGTTAATTATATTCAACAAAGTGTTTCAGTTGACCCTATTCCTCAAGTCAAATTACGTAATTTACATCTACCATCATTTAATGGGAATATTGAGGAATGGCCTTCATTCAGCGAGTTATTTACATCTATTGTCCATGACAACCAGACACTCCCAAACATCCATACGCTATTTTATCGCAAATCTTTTCTAAAAGGGGTGGCCCACCAACTATTGCAGTCACTTCCGTCAACAGATCAAAACTATTTTGAGGCCTGGGACATTCTAAAGGTCAGGTATGACA